GTGTCTCGTATCGCCCTCCTCACCTGCTCTCCCCATCAAGCTCTCCTCATCCCTCACAGCCTCTTCTCTGAAGCCTTCACTGACTGTCCACACCCACCCACACGGTTAGAAGTCCCTCCCCCTCTGGACAAGAGCTGCAGAGAAGCCATAGCACAGTGGACTGCAATTGTGTGTGTGTTTACTATGGGTGTGTGTGCTCGCTGGAGAGAGACAGAGCAACAGAGGGGGGCAGTGTGAGACCACCCTCTGGGGACAGATGCGTGTGGCCGGTATCGTCCTTCTCACCTCCTCTCCCCATCAAGCTCTCCTCATCCCTCACAGCCTCTTCTCTGAAGCCTTCACTGACTGTCCACACCCACCCACACGGTTAGAAGTCCCTCCCCCTCTGGACCAGAGCTGCAGAGAAGCCATAGCACAGTGGACTGCAATTGTGTGTGTGTTTACTATGGGTGTGTGTGCTCGCTGGAGAGAGACAGAGCAAAAGAGGGGGGTAGTGAGAGACCACCCTCTGGGAGACGGCCACACCACCATCCCTCTTCTCCACGCTCCTCTCCGGATTTTGAGCACACACACAAACACGCTCGGTGTGATTTTCAAGCCACCAGGTCTGGGACCCGAACTGCGCAGTCAGCCCTGTGGGCTCCAGCAGCCTTCACTGCCGTGCCATCTGCTGGTCCTGTGCACTGCAATTTTCCATCGGCTGGGGCGGGCCCGAGGGGGGGGGCGCCTGCCACTGCACGGCAGCCCTGCAGGCCCCGCGGCAGTTCTGGCAGACCCGGGCCCCAGGCGACAGCCAGGTGGCTCACCTGTGGTGATGTCGTGACGGATGCCTTTCACTGAGATCCTGGCGTTCCTGACGGGCTTGCCGTACTTGTCCATCACCACACCCTTGATGCCCCGGTGCACCTGGAGAGGCGGGGAGGGTGTGGAGATGCTGCGTGCTCTCCAGAGAGCCAGCCAGTTCCCATCGGGCACTCTCAGGACCACCCCGCTGAGCACAGCTCTGCCACCTCTGGCTTTGCAATTTTGAACTAAGTCCCTCCCCTCTTTGGGTCTGTGAACACAGGTGACAGGTGAGCCCCTCTCTGGGGTCTCCGGCCACCAACCCTATGCATCCCGTGGTGGCAGGTGGCCCTGCACTTCCACCCGTGGGCGTGACTGACCATCTCCTGGCCGTGGGCCCTGAGTAGAAAACCCCCTCTTATTCATCTGACGTAGCCGAGTCCCAGCTACAGTGAGAGGCCCTGGTTCCCTCTGAGCCGAAGTTCCTGGAGGCCGTGTGGGCACCGGCCAGGGCACACACTAATGGCTTGGGCCCTGCGATGGCCCGGGCCAGGACATCGAATTGCTCCCAGCCGCTGTGCAAACCGCTTCACATCTCAGCACCAGCTCCCTCTCTGTGCACGGTGACACCTGCCCGGAAAGAACCCACACACATAGCAGCAGCTACTGAGCTGGACGTGGGGCCTCAGGGCCTAATCAGAAGCTGGTCCCAGCACATCCCCCTGCAGCTCAAGCTCACGCCCAGCATCTATGCACCCCACAAGGAAAGCACCTCCCAGAACCACCTGGTCCTGTCCCCACGTCTTCTGCTAAGAAAGCTGACAATAAACAAGCCAGCCACCCCTCCCTCTGTCCCGCAGAAAACAACCTGAGGTGCAAAGGTCACGTGGAAACAGACGGCACAGGCCCCACGCCAGGCCACGCTGCTTCTAAGGACCATGGCAATGCTGTCTCTACTTTAAAGCCAGAAGACGAAGATGAGCTTTCCGGTGCAAGAGCGTTTCCACACACACTCGTCTTCACGAGACCATCATCTCTAGCGCCCCGTGTGGAGGAAGGAGCCACAGCAGGAGATCCTGGGGCCCAGGAGGTCGCATGCAGCCCTGGCCGAGGAGGGCGTCCTTTACCCAGCTGAGCCCTCGAGGGCTTTGTTTTTCTCCAAACAAGAAAATCAACCCTGCCTCCAGGACCGCTGGCCTCAGAGAAGCTATTTGCTCCTTCGTGCCTCAGTTTCCTTGGTTATAAAATGGGTATAAAGAAAGAAGGGGGAACAGGTCTGCAGACTCCCCGGGCATCGCTGGCTCGTCTAGGACATTAGGTGTATGAACCCGCCCCAGCCAATGTGCCCTCCTGCCTTCCCGGGAGAGAAACCCAGGCTAACTAAC